TTTTTACTTGGGAAGAATGGATTCATAGGCATCCTTTTAATGTGTTTACACGTATGTCCGGAATGGTTTACACAGGAAATAAGCATTGGAAATATCGTTAAACAGCGACACGCGTACCACCATAGAAGTGCAAACAATAATTAGCGCATTCCAATAACAATTATCGTTGAATTCGAGATCGATATGAATTTGCAATCGACAAACATTTCTCGAATTAATGCCCCCTGATGGGAAATTTGTGGTTGTTTTCGACCATTGTTGCAAAGCTAGAGAGAGCCCGTGCCGATCAACTTCCTTCCGATTTATAACAACAACGAGCAACGTCTGTCCCTTGCACTCTTGAAACAGGGAGGATTAATTTTTCCTTCCGCGAAAAAACGAAACGCGAGAATGAATTTTGAAATTTCCCCGAAATCGAAACCAACTAACGTCTTCGTTCCTTTTCTTTCATCTTTTTCTTTGATTGGAGAGATACACTGTCGAGAAACTCGGCGTACGTAATTTATGGTTGTCGATAGACGTCTATTTCTAAATAAAGGAAACTAGGTTCCAAGATTTAATTAATGCAAATTTGAACGTGGCAAATAGTGGGTTGAGAGATATGCAGATGCGATGACGTACTAGAGAGGTAGGGAACTTCTAGAACGCGGGAAAATACCCAAGTGTTTCTGTTGTCGTAAACACACGTAATGTACGCGATGCCCTATTATACACAAACTGCTAATGAAATGTTATCGCCAAAATTTTACCGGCAATGTCTTCTGTGCGCTAATTTGCCACGTTATAACCCCTAATTGCTTTCCACTCCTGTTATTCACCCGTAAAGATAGACAGGCGCTCGGTTAACCCTACCTTATTTTCCGATTAAACTCGTTCAAGAAATTTGTAATTCTGAAATTTTTCTTTGCGGATAACATAAGGATGATGTAAAAACGGTGACTCGATGTTAAAATGTTAAAACATCGCGAAAGGAAATATAGATTCAAATATTCCGTTTGTCCATTTAATCGATTTAATTTATCTAAGTAATACTTTCGACTATTTTTGTACAAACTCGATTATTCATTAAACGGGGGGAAATAATGAAATTCGGACGAAACGATTGATTTTACAGTTTTAACCGACATGTAAAATACATATATGTGGATCGAACGTATCCTCCTCCGTTGCTTTGAATAATAAATATTTTTCTCTATCGTTAGAAGACTAAAATAAATTTCGTCTCTATCTGATCGAATCTAGTTACCACGTAGGGTGACAAAAGATAAGTTTTACGATCTTTCCAATTTTTGCTCCGTTTCTTCGCCATTATTTCGATTAACGCGGTGTCGTCCACGATTGGATAGCTTTCCTTCCATTACTATTCTTTCACACTTGTGTAACATACATCGTTCCCCTCGCTCTTCAGCCCAATTCGTCCGTTGCATTCTATCGAAACTTTGTGCAGATTTCTAAATCTTATTCGTTAAGATATTTTTCCCTTTCTTAGACACTTTGAAACGAAAGAAGATAGATTCGCACGAAACAACGTCTCTTGTTTTTTCAAGCGAACGATTGCAGCGAGATCCACGACACCGGAAGTAACGCGTTCATTTTCTTTCGACAACAAAGGCAAAATGGAGGTAACGTTCGGTTTTATTCTGGAATAAAATTTGGCCACCACCGGTTCTGGGCTAATACCGTACTCCACCAGTTTTATATCCACCATGAAGCTTTATATTACGTTTCCTTCGTCGCGACAGGAATCTAGAGGAAGGCGTTAATTGGCAACTTTTGTAAACGGATAGAAATGAAACATCAATCTCACGATTTCGTTTTTAAACGAGAAGGAAAATGTAAAAGAATAAAAAGTAAAGATCGAACAAGTGATGATAATTTTTAATAATTTTAAACCTAGATACATTCGTCGTATATATTTCCTCGCTATTCGAACGAAGAGAGTAACGTAAACTTAAGAGAATTATCGACAGTTATGCGCGGTTTCGATTCACCTTTGTAAACGCTACGCATTGGCTAATAGAATTTCAGATGAGAAGGAATCTGAATGTTGTTATAATTGGTCCGAGTTGGGTCGAATATCAAAAATATCGATATATTTTTAAGAGACGCGACGAGGAAAGAATCACGAACCGTTCGACTCGAGCCATCTTTCGATCGGTTATCGATAATCGATTTTTTTCTTTTTTTGGACTTTTAACTGTGAGAAAGAGCATATTCGATGAAACGGGATCGCGAACGATTGACGAACGGATTCGGTGTTTCGTTCCGAACGGACGAGACACGGACAACGCGCTTTCCGCGTTTCCCTCGATGTCCCGCCATTCGTTACAAATTTTTCAATGCATCGTATTATCCGCGGGTAACAAGGTAAACGGGCGGCAATCCAGCCACAATAATTTGCCAACACGTTTGTTTTGGTTTCGTGTTCAACGATCGTTACACCATCAATGCGTAACAAGGCGAGATGTGTGTATTCGTGAAGCAGCTAACTCGTGAATCGAGCGAACCAATCAACAGTAGCCCATTAACCGTTTCAGTTTCAACGTGCTTGAAATTCGCGCATTCCTTCTTGTTTCCAATGAATTTACGATAATGAATTCCGTTTCGCCCAAGAATTTATTTTATTTCTCTCGTTTTCGTTCGCCTCCTCCTCCTTCTTCCCTTTCGTACACCTTGGAAATTCGATCTCGCCACGACGATCCACGGAATTATCCAACACTATACACGCGTGTATTTCGCGTTAAAAAGAATGGCAAAGTTATAGGAGTATTAGGAAGGACGAGGATAATACGGCGAGGGAGGCTAGGTGCGTTCATTATGTGCGTGTTCAACTTTGTTGAAACGCAGGGAGAAGGGGAGGAGGAGGAGGAGAGAGGGAGAGAATCGTATTCGTCGGCGCCTCGCCAATTCGCATGGATGAACCGTTCCAATTCCGCGAGGATTCTCTTTGGAAATTGAATTTCGCGTTCAGGATTCAACCGCGCCACTTGATGGAGGTGTGTACAGTGTGGTTCAAGGCTTTTACCGATGTCACGGTCGCTATACCGTTCAAATTCCCAAAATTGAATCGTTCACTTTCACGCTTCAACCTTTACGTTTACCGCTCGTTTACCGCCCCTATTAATTAATAATATCTAAGCCTATCTTCCTCTGCGAATTTCCTTCCCCCCCCCCTCGTATTACTTGGCAATATTGTCCCCAATTGTCGTTTAATTATTATTATTACTACTATTATTATTATTATTATTATTATTATTATTATTATTATTATTATTATTATTATTAT